TATTGATCCTTTACTTACTGCAAACAATGTCTGCAAGTAATGTTCATCAGAGAACTTGATCCACCAAACTAATGTAATTATATAATTGCACTTTGTTATCTTTCTCTTCCCCTGTTCTATTCACTTCTTTAAGCCAACCTTTTATCTATCAGGCTACCGTTTCCACAATGGTGGCATCTCACTATAGGGCAGTGTGAAGTCCATACATTAGAAAATATAACAAAACACCTGGATTATGCCAAAAAATAGGGAGACTGCCTTCTGTACTAGAAATCATCGCTTGGAACAATTACCACATTCAGTTTTCCTTTCCCAACATCCAGAGGTGGGCGTCGCAGCAACAAGACAAGAAAATTTAAATATCAGATGAGTTCCACAGTTATGAATTACTCAAATAGATATATGACAGGAACACTTTCAAAATTTGATAAGGGGCCCTTTTCAAGGAAATTAATGTCGGGGGACCATTTGATAATGTTGGCACAACTTTTATATGTTTAATTTGACTGTTATTTGTTTGATAATTATTCACAAAGCAATACAATCTGGATTAGTTTAATTTCACTACAATAGCACGTTAATGAGATATGTCAATACAAAAAGCAGCCTGTTCCATAATCCTTCAGAAATGAAAATTGACAGAAATGAGCATCTAATATTTAGTGAAACCAAAGACATAGAACAGTTAATTGTGTAACTTGCATAATTTCTTAAAAACTGGAAAAATGATCTCATTATTTATAACGACTTCAGCATGGCTTATTACCAAGGAGATCCACTACAAATGTAAATAAATTGAAACCAAAGCTTAATTTTTTATATCGTAGAAGTAAAAAAGATATATAAAACTCATGAAAAAGAGACAAGGGTACATCTCGATCTTCAACTATTTTTAGAAGGAAAGGAAAGGGAGGCAAAGATGGAGATGATCAATTCCCATTACTTATTAAATCCACTTGAAGGATCTAAAGCAGTTCATTAAAAAATCCAGTTCCCCAACACTCAACCATCTCTATATTAATTTAATGTTTAACTATAATGGAAAATAGATAACCTGAGATCCTTTTCGCCACTTGTCTTCTGCGATGATAGGTAACATCTTCAAGCTGTATCTACTATCCTTTACATCAAGAAAGCTGCAAAATGAGGTGATTTCTTAAGTAGGAACCAGAAAAGGCTTAAAACAGATAGAACACTATCATTTCATTTATCATGGAACCATCTGTAAAGAATCAATTCTAGGCACCTCAAGAATCAAGAAGGCTGCCATCTACCTGTCCACGTAACTCCATGGAGAAGCCATCAGATACTTGTATATATAGCTAAAACTGTAAAGGGGAACACAACTGCAATACAAAAACAAGAAAAACCTGGATTAACATGAACTCAATGAAGATGTTCGCGGTCCAAGCAACAACCTTGTCCAAGCTTAACAAACCTGTCAGAAAGCAGGAAAAATCTTTGATTCACCGGGTCTTCTAGAGCACCTGCAAGCAACAACCTCTCTGCTTCTATCATGCTTGATTCTCCTAATCTCACCTGCAATAAGAGATTGTATTAACTTGATTCCGGGGATGAACTCAAAATCTCATATGCCATTGAACTTAACAAAGTTTCTAACAAAAATTATGAGGCTAGGCAGGTACTAACAAAAATTATGAGCGTAAAAATACATTGAATGGATAAAGTGTTGTTTGGATTGAAGAAAAATGAAAGAAAGGAAACGATGGGGAGTTGGAATTTGGAAATTCCACCCCGCGATTTTCTGGAGTTAGTTGACAGTTCCAGAAAGCAAAACAGAACCGAACGGGAAACGGGAAACGGGACCGCCTGCCGGCAATTTTGCCGTTCTTGTATATGGGCTGGACCGGACCGGTTAGCTGATTAGCCCAAGTCAAAAGAAAATGAGTTTCCCTTTTAATCCACCGTGGTAACCACTTGAAATCCATCTCCACCTCCTCCGATTCACTTAAAATCTTGGCCATTATCACTCCAATCTCCGATTCAACTAGAATTGAGCTCCGGTGGCATTTCAGTACTCAGCTTCCGATGCATCAAATCGTCCACCGGTGACTGGGATCTTTGGTTCCTATCTCCAAGTCTAATGGCTACGGAGCTCCATTTGACTTCCGGCAATTCATTGTCTCCGACCTCGCTCCAGATATGGTCGCCAGCAGCTGTCACTCTCCGGCGACTGCAGCTCAGCTCCGGCAATCTTTGGTGATTTTTGAGATCCTCTTCCTTTGCTAATGATCCTCATAACCGAGTTTTAGATGTTACATTTCTTCATCTTTCTTTTATTTTTGCCATTGAATTTCCTCTTGGTTTCTTTAATTTGTTCATTTTTTAGTTTGTCCGAATTGAAGAATTAGCTTGGTAATTTTCTAGGTGTATGGCAATGTGTGGCAGCCATTATAAAGTTTAGAAGGCATATGAAATGTTTTGTTTTCATTTATGGGTTCATTTTTCTTCTGGGATTTCCTATTTTTTGCTATTATAAACCTGTAAAGTTCATACTGATTCAGCAAAGATATAAGGTGTCTTCTGGACGCAACCAAAAAACCTTTTTCGTAGCCAAGGCAGTGGTTTCTCCTAATTCTGGGGTTAATGTATTTGTTTTAGAGGACGTTAATGTTTTTGTTTTAGAGGACGAGTTTGGCTTGAAAGTCCAGGGTCTGGTGAACTTTATTCCATTGTTAGTGCCTTTTCCCTCACTTTATCAATTTCTATCAAGCTTTTAGAAATAATGGTTGTCATTCATACAACAATGGTGCATTAGTTTTTTTTTTCAATCATTCTGAGCTCCTCCTTCATTGCTGCTCTTTATGTATCTGAATTTGTAGCCTCATAATAATTTGAGACTCAAAGGCAGACAAATTGCATCTACCATAAATATCTTCTAGGATTCTAGTTCCTCTCACTGGTGCATCATCAATTAAATTTGATTCATTTGTTGCATCATCAAAATCTGCTCCAAGTTCTAGTCTCTCATTCAATTCAACAACTTGATATGAGTTTGAAACTAGGGATTTTTCCAAATCCCAAGCTGCACTTTCATCAAACTTAGCACTCTTACAAATATCAATCTTTTGAGTCTTAAGGTTGAAAACTTGGTAACTTTAGATTGTAGGTTGTAACCAATAAAAACACAAGTATTTGCTCTTTCATATAGCTTTCCTCTTTTTTCATCTGGGATAAACACATAGCAAATGCAACCAAAAACTTTCAAATGATCTACAATAGGTTTGTTCCTACCCTTGCTTCAAAAGGAGTTTTGCCTTTAATAAATTTTGTTGGCAATCTGTTCTTCAAATACATAGTAGTGTAAATCGTTTTAGCCCAAAAATTCTTGGGCAAGTTCTTCTCAAATAACAAAAACTTGGCCATATTCAAAATAGATTTGTTTTTCCTTTCACTCACACCATTTTGCTAAGGTGTGTAAAGAATTGTGAGCTGATGATGAATTCCATATTACTGCAAAAAGTACTAAAATCTTTGAGAAGTATACTCAACTGCATTGTCAGATCTAAGTGTCAAACCACACTCATTTTCAACCAAAGCTTTGAACTTGATGAAAATATGAAATACCTTAGATTTCTACTTCAGAAAATACATTCAACAAAATCTATTGAAATCATCAATAAAAATCAAGAAAAATCTATTTCCATTGAAAGAAGTCTTTATAGGACCACAAATGTCAATGTGAACTACTTGCAACTTCATGGAAGCTTTATGAGCCTGACTAGATGGAAAACGCAATTGAGATTGCTTACCAAGCTAACACACTTTACAAACATTTTCATTAGCATGAACAAGAGGCATATCAAAAACCATGCCTTTTTTCTACATCAACAACAAAGACTGATAATTGAAGTGACCAAACCTCTTATGCCAGACACAAGAATTATCAATAGTACTCACACAAGCCTTTATCTGAGTTTCTTTCCATTCAGCAAGAAACCTCCTATCATGCATTTTAATAGATAATAGCAAATTTCCAAATTCATCAAGTACATCACACAACTTGTCATGAAAGTGCAGAGAGTATTTGTTTTCAACAAGCTGAGCAATGCTAGTAAAGTTGTAGCTAAGCTCAAGAACAAATAGAACATCATAAATAAGCTTGATACTTGCTGGTGTATCAACAGTTGCTACTACCTTTCCTTTGACTTCTACTAGTTCTCCATTACCTAATCTAAATTTAGAAGTAAAACTCTTGTTAAGGGTTTTGAAGTAGCTCTCATTTGGAGTCATGGTGAGTACATCCTCTGCCTATCAATCAAACATTACAACTGAGATTTACAGCATAGCAATCTTCCATTCTCATGGCCACAAACAACTTCTCCTGTTGATCAAGCTTTTATGCAATTTGAGCTTGTGATGTAGATTTTGCTTTTGATTTGTACACCTTTTCAACATGATCGAAGTGCTTACAAGACCTACATTGACCACCAAGTCTAAATCAACAAAAATTTTATGTGTGAGTTATCTTCTTGTAGTGAATACAAGTAGGAAAATACTCCTTTTTACCCTTGTATCTACCATGCTTGAATCTCTTTGAAACTCCTCCTTTTCTTTCCATTTCTAGTTAGAGTCTTTGCTCCTTCCTTTTGTTGGCTTTTACCCTTTCTATAATATTCCAAAATTTTCTGAAAATTTAGAATTTAAGTTAGGGATTTATAAGGTAGAAATTATTATTTTTGGGTCTAATAGCTAAAATTCACAAACCTAAGAGGGGTTAAAAGTGAAATCTGGTGATAAAAGGGGTTAAGGCTGATTTTCCTTTTTCTCTCCTTACCTTCTTATGTTTTCTTGCAACCCCATCACTAGAAAATTTCTTACAACTCCTAACATGTGCCCAACTCTTTCTCACCAAAAATTAGGTGAGATTTAGTTCTTCTTCTTCCTTCCAAGTTTGATTTAGAGATTTATGAGTTTATGGTTCTCAAAATCATGATCAAAGCCCAGATCTTGCTACTATTTCTTGAATTTTTTAGTCCATGTTGGGTTCTTATGCAGTTTAAGGAGAGGCCACCACCTTTCCAGCACTTTTTGGTAAAAAATTAGCCACATTGCTTATCTTTTCATCTTTGATTTGAATTGGGTTAACTTTAATTCTTTAGGGTTTTCAATTTGGGATTTGTTTCTATAGTTTTCCTCCTTGGTTTTGCCCTGGTGCCACCAGATCTAATCCCTTTTGCTAGAAATTCTGATAGCATGACGTTTTAGTAGTGTTTTGCCCATAACTCTTTTTTTAGCTATCGAATTAAGTTCATTCTTGCTTCTATGGAAAGTTAAGAGATAGCCCTACAATTTATCTGTTGAACGTTTACCTCGGTTTAGCTGTTTTCAAGGTGAAAACTTTGCTGCAATTTCAATTCTTGAAGGCGGATGGAACTGGTAGCCTGATCTTGTGTTAGTATTTTAACCATAACTTTTTTTATAGATGTCGGATTAAGATGATTCTTGATCCTATAGAATGCTAAGACATAGGGCTACCCATATTTTTACTTACTAAGTTATCTCACATAGTTTTTCCTCATTTACCATTTCAGGTAGTGAAACCAGAGACACGAGAAACAAAGGGGAGTGACGAGCTAAAGGGCTAGCCACATGTATTTTTTACTTATATTATTTTGGAGTTAGGTCGCTAGTCAAATTATTTTTGGACATAGAGTTGTATTAATTTTTGTGCACTCTTGGCCTAGTAAAGCTTGGATTATAAAAGCTAGACTTTATTTTGAGATTTGGATCTTAGTTAGTCGACTACTAGATATGAATTAAATAGGTTTTGAGTCTTGTGTATTTGTGAGATCCTCTCACAAGTGTACGACATTTGTTTCACTCCCAATTTTGGGGTGTGACATTTTCAGTAGCTAAGAAAGCATCTTCAACATTGCTCTTGAACCTTAAGGCTTTTCTCTATTCAACAGCTTGTAAAGAGTTGATAGGTTCAGTTAAGGTGATTTTAGAAAGATCCTTGGACTCTTCTAAAGAGGAAATCTTGTGCTTAAATTTTTCTAGTAAAATGACCAACACCTTCTCAACAACCCTCTTATCAAAGAGTTCTTTATCACCCAACAACCTTATTCGAATCACAATCTTCATCATTCTATCTAAAAACTCTTTGACAATTTTAGACTCATTCATTCTCAAAAACTGCAAATTCCCTTTTTTGATTCAAAACTTGCATCTAAATTGCCTTGGTGGCACCACCTTCAACAAGTCCCAAGCTTCTTTGGTTGTTTCATAGCCCACAATTCTATTGAAAATCTCATCAATTGGCGCAGGAGCTGAGATCGAGACACCAATTTTGGCGAGATTTAGAATCCCATTATGGTGAATTCAATTGCTTGGAACACCACTTAGGTTGGCAAAACTTAAGATACAGAGATAAATTGAGAAAATTTTACTCTCAAAGACTCACTCAATAGAGAATAATTATAAACTGAAATTTTGTTATTCAAACTTGATGAATACAATGGATGGAACATGGCTATTTATAGGCAAAATCTAACACAAGGTAATAAATAAAAAGTAAAAATGCAGCTGGGAGTTAGCCGTCTTTGTTGAATTCAGTGGCCATTTTTGACAAAATTGCATCGGCCTATTTATAGTCTGCAGAGTTGCTATAGTATAGTCTGAAATTTGCTGACTTACAATCCTGGTGCACTTTCTTGGTGCTTTCCCCCGGTGCATTCTCCCCTGGTTGGAGAAAACTCATCCTCGAGTTTGAGTTTAATGCTCATGATCCTCGTAGTGAGGAGATAGGTCAGTGACATTGAAAGTAGCAGAGACTCCATAGTCACCTGGAAGTTTGATCTTGTAGGCATTATCATTGATTTTCTCCACTATCTGAAAAGGACCATTGGCTCTAGGGGAGAGTTTGACATTAGGTCGATTAGGAAACCTTTCCTTTTGAAGGTGTATCCAAACCCAATCTCCTTTTTGTACACGACCTTCTTTCGGCGCTTGTCATGATGAGCCTTATACCTAATGGTTTGACGTTGTAGCTTCTCACGAACTTCTTCATGAAGTTTCTTAATCTCCTTGGCTTGTTGTTCAACATCTGCACTAAATTGTCGGGATGTGGGCAATGGAGCAAGATCTAAAGGACTGAGAGGATGCACTCCATATACTACTTCAAATGGGCATTTTCCTGTAGCTTGATTCGAAGAGTTGTTGTAGGCAAACTCAGCTTGGGCAAGCACAAGATCCCATTGTCGCAAATTCTTTCCCACAAAACTTCGTAGTAGATTCCCCAAAATCTTGTTGATAGCTTTAGTTTGACCATCGCTTTGGGGATGGCTAGCAAAACTAAACTGGAGTTGAGTGCCCATCTTTCTCCATAAAGTCCTCCAAAAATGACTCATGAACTTCACATCTCTATCTGAAGTGATGGTCTTTGGAACTCCATGTAGACGCACAATCTCTCTAAAATATAACTCAGTAATGAGAGAAGCATCATTAGTTTTCTGACAAGCAATAAAGTGAGCCATTTTAGAAAATCTATCAACCACGACCATGATAGAATCCTTGCTTCGTTGAGTTCGTGGTAGACCAAGGACAAAATCCATGCTAACATCTTCCCAAGTGATGTTGGGATAGGCAATGGTAGGTACAACCCTGTGTTCTAATTGATTATCTTGGCTTGGTGACAAACTTTACATCTTTGAATGTGACGAATGACATTCTGATCCAACGTTGGCCAGTAAAAATTTTCTTTAACAAGAGCTAAAGTCTTGTCTCTCCCAAAATGACCAGCTAATCCACCATTATGTGCTTCCCAAATAATTGAATCTCGGAGTGAGTAACGTGGAACACATAGTCAGTTACCCTTGAAGAGGTAATCTTGTTGGCGATGATATTGCTAAAAGGCTTGATTAGAAGTGGCTCCCCAAATGTTGCTAAAATCAAGATCATCTTTATACAACTCCTTGATCACTTCAAATCCAATGACTTTCATCTGTAAGGAAGCAAGCAAGGCATGTTGGCGACTAAAAGCATTAGTTACGCGATTCTGGACTCTAGATTTGCATTTGAGGAGGAAAGGATAAGCTTGTAGAAATTCACTCCAAGTAGCATGTTGACGACTGATCTTCTGTTGAGAATTCAAGTGCTTCATTGCCTCATGGTCAAAGTGCAAGATGAATTCTTTTGAAAGAAGATAATGGCTCCAATGCTCCAAGACTCGAACAATTGCATAGAATTCTTTGTCATAGGTGGAATATTTGAGCTCTGTGTCATTCAACTTTTCACTAAAGAAGGCAATGGGTCGTCCTTCTTGACTTAACGTTCACCAATTCCAACATCAGAAGCATCACAATCTACTTCAAACATCAGGTCAAAGTTGGGAAGTGCAAGTACAGGGGCTTCAGTGAGCTTCCTCTCCAATCCTTCAAAACTTTTTTGGGCTTTGTCACTCTATGAAAATTTGTCACCCTTAATGCTGTTAGTGATTGGGGCAGCAATGGAACTGAAATTCTTGATGAATCTCCAGTAAAAAGATGCCAAGCCATGGAAACTTTGAACATTCTACATGGATGTTGGTGTAGGCCAATTGACAATATCATCAATCTTACTGGGGTCCATCTTGATATCTTGAGCAGTGATGATGTATCCAAGAAATGTCACACTTGTAGTGAGGAATGAACATTTCTTGAGATTAGCATAAAGTTTCTACTCTCTAAGGACTTTAAAAACTTGCCGGAGATGGTCTAGGTGCTCCTGTTCATTCTTGCTATATATTAGGTGTTGACGACTACTTAAGATTTCAAAATAATGAAAAATTAAGTGTGAAATATAAAAGAAAAGGGAGTTGCCACTCGTCCAAATTATAAGGTAAGATAAGTTGCCTTAAAACGGGTCTGCGCAGGGATCGAGATTCGGGGGTTCGGTTAGGAGTGAGGAATGGCACGTGCACACCTCACAATCCTCTGTTTAAACACGGTTGCATACTTTAAAATTAAGGTTTTAATTCAACTTATTTATTACATTTATGTTTGAGTCTTAATAAGCAAACTTGAAAAAGAGATAAACCGAATCGAAACATTTTTTTTTTTGGACTGAAATAGACAAAATCAAGAACATGCATGCACAATAAACAAAAATAAAGATTAAATGGACTGATTTGATTAAATTCAAAAAAATGAAGGATTGATTTGAAAAGAGTTGAGACCCATGAATTAAATTGCTTAATCATGAAAGTTTTGTGTGAAATTGAAATAAAGAAAGATAATTTTGACTTTAGAAAAAAGATTAAAGAAAATAGAGAATTGAAATTAATTAATTAAGATAATTAACTTAATTGGATGATTAATTCAATATTAATTAAAATTAATTAATTGCATTTATCAACCTCTTCTAATCAAGATAATTAAATAAATTTAATTACCTCAAATTAAGGCCAATAAATATAATTAATTTACTTTAATTAAAATTAATTAATTTTGTTAATCACACATTTAAACTAATTATCCTAATCAATTAATCATTTTATTTATTTATTTCTTTCTTTTCTTTTTGCCTTTTTTTTTAGTTTTGTTTTAATTTAGTTATTTAAAAAAAAAAACACATCGAAAATAGACCAAAATAGATCAAAACTTAGACAACTGAAATCTGGATGGAAACAGAAGGAAATTTACGGTTCCCATTCTACCATTCATCAACACAGACAAAAGGAAAACAAATAAACATTCATCCCAACTCAAATCCATGACATTCAATCAGAACATGTTTGATTTTTTTTTCCATTCACAATATCTTCATCTAACACAGTCCTAATACATCGAAATCTAAAAAAAATTGCAACAAACAAGGCAAAAATTTTCTGGGAGAAGACAAATCCGGTCGGAATGAGGGATCCCACCCACGGGATCAAGCTCCATTCGTCTCCCTCACCATCCTTCCCAAAAATTCCTCTGTTTAGGGAAGTACCTAAGCAAACCCAGAAAATGTTTCCTTCTCCTTAAGTTGCTGTTGTACTCTCCCATATCATCACTTTCGAATCGGCCCTTTAACACTAGCGACAGAGGTGGTGCTCTCCACAACCAACCTCCCCAAAGAAAACCAACCCTCCCTTCTTCAAAATCTCCCTTTAGTGCTCTCAAGAACCAGACAGAGACTCCCCAAATCAACTCCAAAAATCAACCATAGACCTCCACAATCAAACTCCAAAATCAACCAAAGACCCAGACCTCTGCGTTTTGCTCTCTATATATACCCAAACAAAAAAATAAAATAAAAATGAAAAAGCCTTGCTCCGTCAATCACTAATGATGTTGATTTTGTCTGCTGTGTGCTGTTTTTTTTTATATGGCTGTAGCATGCAGGAGGCAGGGGCGCGAGATTGGGCGCAGAGTGCAAGAAGCGCAGGCTCGGTGCGATAGTAGGGGCGTAGGCGGCAAGGGCAGGGGCATGGTGTAGCAGCAAGGGCACAGGCGTGGCAGGGGGTGAGGGGATCTGGTGCAGATTAAGGCTTGGGTGCGAAGCAAGCAAGGGCGTAGGCAGCAGGGCTAGGGGTCTGGGCTCGGTGCGTAGCAAGCAAGGGGGAGCAGAAGCGTGCAGGAGCAGGATCGGCGCAGCAAGCAAGGGCGTAGGCTCAATGCAGGGCAGGGGGAGCAGAGCAAAAGGGATCTGGGTTACAGAGAGGGGAAGACCTTTTTTGTTTTGTTTTTAGGGCATGTTTGGTGGAGCTCTTATCCGTTTCAGTTTTTAGACACTATTTATATCTCATGAATTTAAATTTTTCTTTTAAAAATTTACACATTTAAATATTTTTTTAACTTCAAAAAACTCTTAAACAGTAAAAGTTCAAAAGTTTCAAATCTAAACTTTTTATAAACTCCCTTTTTACTTACTTTTCATTCACTTTTTCACCTTACTAAAAGCTAAAACTCTTTTTTCCCTCCAATAAAAATTTAAATTTATCACTCATAACAGTACTCAAAAAATAAAAGCTCTTACAAGCCACACCAAAAAGGCCCTTAATTGGAGTTTTGGGTCTTTTGGGTTGAGTTTTGGATTTTGATTTTGGGTTTGAGTACGAGGCTTAAAAATTGGAATGGGATGGTGTTGGATTGAGCTTGGCTCAATATTGGGTATGGGCTGGACTTGTCAATTCATCTTGATAAACTTCACTCCTCCAACTTTTGATTTCTTCAATTGAGTCCCTTGTTTTAATTTCTTTCATCTCCCTTTTCCAATTTTCTTCGCAAAAATCCCCCTTTTTGCTCATGAACCTAACAAGGAAATCAAAGACAAAACATATGAGTTAAAATAAAAATAAAACTAAAATTCTACTAAAATTTGAGTTATGACACTAGGATATCATCAAAGTAAACCACAACAAATTTTCCAATAAAGAGTCGATATACCTGGTTCATAAGGCACATGAAAGTGCTAGGAGCATTAGACAATCCAAATGGCATGACTGTCCACTCGTATAAACCATCTCTAGTCTTGAATGCTGTCTTCCATTCATCACTAGGACACATTCGAATCTAGTGATATCCACTTCGCAAATCAATCTTTGAGAAGACAATAGCTCCATGCAGTTGATCAAGCATATCATCAAGGCATGGAATTGGGAAGTGGTACTTGATAGTGATTTTGTTGACTGCTCGACTATCTACACACATTCTCCTAGTTCCATCTTTCTTTGGGGCTAGTAGCACAGGCACGGCACATGGGCTAACACCTTCCTTGACAAATCCTTTCTCTATCAGCTCTTTGACTTGTTGTTGAAGTTTCGCATACTCTTGAGGGTTCATCCGATAAGCAGGCTTGTTTGGGATGAAATCAATGGCATGCTAAATGTCTCTCATTGGTGGTAATCCAAGAGGGATCTCGTTAGGAACAACATCAAAAAATTCTTCAAAGAGAGATCGGATCTCTTCTGGAAAAGGGCAAGTGGCATCATTTATTTTGGATAATAGTAGGAGACATGTTATTCCCGATTCTTGGTGCAACTTTTGAAAGGTTGATCTAGAGATTAGTGCCTTGTCCTCATCCTTCTTTTCAAGTGTATCTTCAGGCTTCAAGGGAGTGAGGTTGATTTTCACACCATCCTTCACAAACGAGTAGGTGTTGGCATGGCCATCATGGATAGCCTTTCTGTTAAATTGCCATGGGTGACCAAGTAACAAGTGATAAGCATCCATGGGAATAACATCACACCATACGTCGTCTTGGTACCTATTACCAATAGAAAAAGACACAAGGCAATGTTTAGTTACTTTTACCTCATTTCCTTTTCGTAGCAATTGTAGCTTGTATGGATGGGGATGATCTTTGACAGGCAGTCCTAGCTTGTCAACCATATAATTGGACACAACATTCTTACAACTTCCACTGTTGATGATGACATTGCAGGCTTTCCCTCGAGAAGTACATCCGGTGTGAAAGATGTTATGTCGAAGCCAATCTTCATCCTTGGTTATGGTAGTATGAAGACTACAACACACATCCAAAGATTCTCCATGGTCAACTGGGATGAGTTCTTCCTCAAGCTATGGTGACTTAGTTTCATCATTTTGCTCCTTTTCTGCTTCATCTTCTAAGGCTTCATGAATTTCTCCTTTGATAATGGTGACAACTCTCCTATTGGACAGTCGGAGGCTATGTGGCCAAATCCTTGACACTTGAAACACTTTCGAGTGTTAGATTGAGTTGGACGGCTCGAGCTAACTACCTTCTCAACCTTGGCAGGAGTCTTGGCAACAGTTTTTGAAGCTTGAGTCCCTCAGTTGGCTCCAAAATCTCGTAGTTTTGAAGCACTAATGATATTCTTCTTTGAGATTTGCTTTTCAACCCTCAATGCTAGTCGAATGACATCATCCAAAGTCCAATATTGTTGAAGTTGAACAACTTTGAAAATGTCATAATCCAATCCTCCAAGATATTGGGCTATGGTTTGCTCTTCCTTTTCCCGAACATCACACATCATCATTAATTGTTCAAACTCCATAGTATATTCTTCCACAGTCAAATATTTCTGCTGCAAGTTATGAAATTTAACAAAATTATCTTAGTAGTAACAATCGGGTAAGAACTTATGAGTGAGTTCTTGACACATTTTCTCCGAAGTTCTAATTTTGTTGCGATCTTCTCTTTCTCGACTATGCTTGAGATTCTCCCACCAAATGGATGCATGTTTCCTCAATTTGATGGCAACCGAGCTTCACACACTTGTTGTCAGGAATATCCTTGAGTTCAAACACACGTTCCACACTATGCAACCAATCGATAAATTCATCTGATTGAAGGCAACCTTCAAAATCTGGAATATTGATTTTGATGCCAAGGTCGGTGGATTTGGGAGCAACATTTTGTTGGGGACGTCGATGATAAACTCTATCTATTGATGATGAGCTTTCATTATCCCTTAGGTGATGGAAGGGATTCTCATCTCATTATCCCTTAGGTGATGGAAGGGATTCTCATCGTCAGTATCTTCCTCTGACTCATGTGGTTCATCTTGTGAGTGTTGAGCTTGTTATCCCTCAAAAGCTTCGAGTCTTTCTTGAAGCCTTTGAATTTGTTGTCATAGTTCTTCCATCTCTACGTTCGAATAGCTCATTGACGAGGAGGATTTTGTCTTCTAAGAGGCATGTTGAGTTTAGGTTGATAAAGAGGTCTTTTTGGAAAGATAGTTTTAGGAACTGGGGGTAATTTGAAATCTGTAAAAGTATGGGGGGCCAATCTGTAAGGTAAAAATAAGTAGAGGGACTTGATGACGTGGCAACAGGGTGCAACTGTGTTGATGACATGTCAAGTGACGTGGCACAGATGACGTGGCAAATTGATGATGTGGCAGTGACGTGGTGATGAGGTGGCAATGTCGTGGCAATTATGTGTTGATGAGGTGGCGTGATGAGGTGGCAGGTGCTGGGTGGAAGATGACCAGCGCGTGCATTTCACGCAAGTTGCAGTGGTGCGCGTGGCCGGTGCATGAGACAACGGTAATGGCGCTTGGAGGCACGACAAGGTTTTCACTAGAACGCTCAAAATGACGTGCAGACTTCAAATATATTGGCTTTGATACCAAATGGTGCAGGAGCCAAAATCGAGACACCGATTTTGGCGAGATTTAGAATCCCACTACGGTGAATTTGATTGCCTGGAACGCCATTTAGATTGGCAAGACCTAAAATACAGAGATAAATTGAGAGAATTCCACTCTCAAAAACTCACTCAACAGAGGAGAATTATAAACTGAAATTTTTTTATTCAAACTTGATGCATACAACGGATGGAAAGGCAATAAATGAAAAGTAAAAATGCAGCTGGGAGTTAGCCGTCTTTGTAGAATTCAGTGGCCATTTTTGACAAAATTGCACCGGCCTATTTGTAGTCTACAGAGTTGCTATAATGTAGTCTAAAATTTGCTGACTTGCAATCCTGGTGCACTTTCCTAGTGGTTTCCCTTGGTGCATCAATTATTGTAGAATGAATACAAGTCAACACTTTATACCTCTTTGTAATTTCTTGCTTATGCTGCTTTATTTGAGTCAAGGTGGGATTCTACCTTAAAGGTGGTGGCTACTGATCAGTTTCCACCACTTCCTAGAGGTCAAAGGCCCTTAAATTAGCCTTTATCTTGACTGGCCAAATTGGGTAGTTATGGCTATTGAAAATTGGTGTCTTCACAAGGAAACTATAACTAGAATCGATTTTTGTGGTTCAAGGTGTATGAGTTGTGTTTGGGTGTCACTCATTGTCAATTTTCACTCCTTCAAAACCTCTCTAGGATCAGAGGAGGCTTTGATACCATGCAACATTTTCGCTCAAAGGAAAAATGGAGAGGAAAAAACAGAGAGAAAAAAATGAATAGAACACTAGAAGTTTCATTTATTTCTAATTTTGTACCACACAAACAAAGGATTACGGGAAAGAGAAAAGTAGTTTACCAACTACAAGTAACTGCCCCCCACTACTATTGTTAGATTTGATAAAAGATTAACAAAAAGCTACATAATCAAAGGTCAAATTACATCAAAATACAATAACTGAACTATTGTAGCTTGTGATGGCATGGTAACTTCAAAAACTGAAAAAAAATCTAAACTTCATTCAACAAACATTCCAGAATGTATGAACTGGAGTAAAGCTTTCTAGGATGAAACTTTGATGCTTTACCTCTGTTTCCATTTGGAATTGTCTAGGTGGGTTTCTTCTTCTTCTTGGCCGTGCGTTTCCATTTTTCATAAGGTTTGTTTTTGGAAGTAAGAAAAGGGGCAAAAGATAAGTACAAAATAAAGAAATGTTTCCTTCCCAATTACAATTCATTAAGCAACAAGTCAGTGAAATAAGTTTTTCTAGAAGTTCAAATACGTGTAAACATCTTATTTATACTCAATAAATTGCTAATTGAGTTAGCAATACCTCGGCAAAGCGGGGTTAGGACCCTTGTATATTTATAAAAGGATTGAGAAAACACACACAAATCAATAGAAAAAAAAAAAAACACACACACACACACACACACACACAAATCAAGAAAAAAATACACACATAAGAACCATAGGTGATAGATCTGGTAGCTCAGAATCAATCATTATCTGGCGTGCAGGCCATGCATCGTCATTGTGTAATTAGCCATACACAGCCAGATGAAGGTGAGTAGTTCTCCGCCCTTACTTGGTTGTTGTGAATGCACATTTGGCCTACATCTACGTGCAGCATAACACATCATGAAAACCCATTCTTTTCTCAGTTGCTTCCAGGAATATCTTCCGTTCTTGAGTTCCTCGGCTAAACTTTTTGCTGCAGATAATGTAGATGCGAATGGAACCTCTCTCCCATGGTTGTCAATATCAGCCGAAAGAATTCCCCTGGCACCCAGCTTTTCATTTGAGACTGAACTCCGACCTAAAATTGACAAGGTATGCTCATATGTGTCTTTAAATACTTTTTCCCAATTGTTCGACGTGGTAGCCATTGTAGAAGGCTCCATCATCATAAGGTAAAGCATATAATCTGCAATTAGCTTGCAAGTTTTGCTGTCATCATCAGTACTCCCAGATGAAGAGTCTTGGGTATCTTTTTCTTGGATGGATAATTCGGTGCCTATATGAAAGCTTAAAAGCACATGTGAAAAACTAGGTCTATCTCCCATGCCAAAAGAATCTTGTATGAGTTGTCCATACCGTTCCTGGAGAATGGAAACTACATCCTCAACAATAGGGCGCCAGTACTGTAGGTCTTCTCCAAAATTTTGAGAGGAAAGGCATCGAAGTACTTTTATGACTTCTAACAAACTGACAGGGAGAAAAGTGGCCAATATTTTCAACCAAATTGGTTGGTCCTTTACACTAAAAGTTATAAAATTTAACTGGGGAACTTCTTTAGACCACCTGCGCTTCTTGACAAATCTGGCTTCCAATCTAGATGCCAAGTTAGGGAAGTATCCCAAAATGTGTAAGTTAGCAATAACAAACCAGTCGGAGAACACGAGTAGAACGATAGATATGAAATCCAAAGTCAGGGCCCCAATCAACAACACATAAGTTAGCCAGGCATCAAACTCGTCCAACTTGTAGTGCTTCTTAAGTAATGAGAATGACAACAAGGCTCCCAAGATGCAACCCAAGTTCAAGATGCGACTTACGTTCCCAGTCTTGGAAACAATCACAGGCAACTTGGTGTGGAGAGCCTCATACAATAGGCTCAGCTGAATTTCCATCTTTTGGAGCGCTTCTTTTGCAAAACAAACCTTATTTTTGCTTCCAAAGTTTGCTAAACTCTTTGCACGTTGAGGTATAGATAAAAAAGAGCCAAGAAGTGGATTCCTGATGGTTCCAAACAAGTAAGCTGCAGATTGTAATATCGACTTGCGATCGGAATCAGCAAAATATCGGCGGATATCATCATCTTCAACAGCTGGGGGATCAGTCAAATAGTCCGATCCATCTGGCAGGGAATCTGCAGTGCCCAACTCTCTGAATTGCTTTGGAATAAGGAGTTCAGCTTCCCCAGGCACCCAAGTTTTGCCAAAATGGTCAAAGCTTGCAAGATAAAAGGCACGATTCCGCTCTGCATATTTGATTATGCTAGCAATTAACACTAGGATGGTTGGGAGCCAAAGCTTGTTGCCTGAGAGGGATACAAGGAAGACGTAGAGTGTAGAACCAACTTGTAATATGAGCCCAAGCAAATGCCTTACCCAGAACTCATTGTCCTCCAGGGCAAACGATGTGATGGTATCGGGGCCGCCAAGGTGTAACAGCAGAAAGGGTGCCCAAAAGGTCTGAATGTCATCACTTTTGGCAGGACTTTTCAACTGGTTGCTTAAGATGTATCCAACGGTAAGCCCAGCAACCCAGTCTGCAAGCAAGTATAGCAACCAGATCAACATGCGAACACATTTTCCCTTATTTCCTCCTAGGCGTTTTCTTAATGGTGCAAAGAGAGTCAAGAAAACTTGAGTCAGGAGGCTTAGGATGACCAATGCTCTGACATTCCATGCATCCCAGAGCTTAGTGATGTTTTCCGGAATAGAGAACAGCACCATCGTCTTCTTTTGTTAATTGTCTTGTCAGAGCTTGTCTCGCTTTAGGAAAGGGAGCTTGTGTTGTCCAAAAATAATCACATGCAAAATAAAATAGACACTAATTAGTCAATTACTGAATGCCAATTACAGGGATGCAAGATGAGTATCCAATTCACTGGAAGCATGTAATTGGATATCCAACAATAAATTTCAGCTTCAACCCTTGAGATCTAAAAATTGATATGATAGATTTTTTCCATTTTTTACCAACAACCACCACTATTCATTTTTTTTTTTTTTGGCACCACCACCATGCTAGATTGACCGCAAAATACTGGCAGAAGTTGCAATTCAGCCCCTCAACTTTGATTGTTGTGGCATGTCAGCCCCTCTACTTAGAAGTAGTGCAAATCGACCCTCTTACTTACCAAAACCAGCAAATCAGCCCTTCTATTAATGATGACATTACTTTTCCATGACCATTGCTATTGCCCCGTTAAACTCCACTTATATGGCACTAACTGGTTGTGACGTGGCAACTTATTCTCCTTCCCTTGCTAGCATGTACCCCACTTTAAGATCAACTTAAAAAATTAAACTCAACATAGGATGATATTAGTTGGGCAGTTATAAAATTAAAGTGAATTTTTATTTTTCCATAATAATTATGAATAATGATAAAAAAATATAATAAATGTATATAATATGTGTACTTAAAACACATGATAGGGAAATCTTTAATTTTTAAATTAGTTTTTCTAATCTATATCTTTATATGTTGAGGGTGTAACAATAACACCTTTTGTAATTAAGTTATATAGAAAATATAAATGTTGATTTTAGTATAATCAATTGACCAATTAAGATTTTACACATGGCTATAGTGATAAAATAAATGCTAACATTTATGGTGTTATGTAAATTAACTATAAAAATGTAAATTTATTAAATCCTTAACATGTGCCCTTAAAATTTAAAGCAAGAGGATTAAGCAGCAGAAACCATTTTAAAATTTAACAACTTTGATTTTATAATTAATTATAAGGTTTTTTTTAATGTGTCATAAGTTCAACTTACTTTTTCATCATAATTTTTGACATTAATCTTAGTATTGTTGTCATGTAAATGAATTTAATTGAATAGTTAATAAAGTGAAAGTCAATTTTTATTTTTCAATAAAATTTATTACAATCTTAATATGTGTTCTTAAAGTATAGATTAAATAAATCCTTAATTATATTCTCAAAAAATTAAATACAATATATGCTAAGACTTATTATTTTATTTTTAAAATTTCTATTCAAATAATACTGTACAAATCATAGGCGCCATGTTGTAAAAAAATTGCCATGACATACTTGGTCAGTGCCACATAAGAGTTTAACAGGGCAGTTGCAATAGTCACAGAAAAGTGACCTCAGCATTAATAGAAGGGCTGATTTGCTGGTTCTGGTAAGTAAGAGGGTCGATTTGCACTACTTCTAAGTAGAGGGGCTGACATGCCACAATAATCAAAGTAAACAGACTGAATTGCACCTTCTGCCCAAAATACTTCATACAGGAGCTGTTATTGTAACTATACCGCGGGCTTTGTTAGCAATGTTTTCAAAACCGGACCGGTCATTGAACCGTTTTCAGGTCCGGTTCCCGGTTTGACCGGTTCAACCGGTTGAACCGGTGAACCGGCCGGTCCAAACAATAAAGAAGGTTTGATGAGAGGAGC